GGGCTCAATCTCAAACCAGAAAGGGCTTTCTGGTAATTTAATTTAATTTGATTTAATGGTAATATGCACCTATAAAGTTACATGTGATAGAAATGTAGCCACTAAACATTTTTATAAGAAATATGACTTTGTGACATTGACACTTACATTTTTCATGCTCTTCTGTAATGAATATACATGTAAATGGTACAGGACCACATGTGATTAACATAATTCATGCACCTGTGAGCTGATTGCAGACAGGAAGGGTGTAGCCAATGGACTGTTGTATGGGCCTGACTATGCAAGATTAACATAAATTATGCATAACATGTATTAATCATTGTTGATGGATGGGATGTGCCATTGAGCTGTACATGTACATATAGACCTCATTACGTGTGGCTAACTTGTATTTACGCAAGCATACCCGTATGTTACTTTCAGACGGCAGAGGATGTAATCAGTGAAGTGTTTGGTAAGTCCTGCTTTGCTGAATGGCCGCATCTGAAAGAAGTCAAAGTGGTGGCTGTGGCAGATGACACAACTAGGTAAAAAGAAAGAAAAATTACTGCATTGCAGTTCCATGTTCTCTGTAAACCAATTGTTTGTGACTGGTTGGCATGGACAAGCGTTTGTCCACTACGAACACAGGGCAAGGGTTCCCCTCGTTTTCTCTGTTTTCTCCGAATGACGCAATCTACATTCAGAATTCGCATTTTGGCATGAACAGAAAAAAAAACCCTTTTAGCTTGTTATAGTTGAGCTCTGAAGACAAATGACACTGCATTCGATTTGGATGCTTCCATATTTCTTTGAACAGATAAAATCAGAGAAACCATGTTTTCCTCAGAGATGCTCTTTAAATACAGAAATTTCAGTACATAGTTACAATAACCCTTCCTGGGAAATCCTGGGGAAGTGTCATCTGGGAAGTCCGGTTGGTATAGTGGCTCTTTCCTCGCCTTCCATCTCTGCGACTCGAGTTCGAGTCCCACCTAGGTCAGCATGTGGTTGGGGTTTTCAGTCCCTGCCTGATTCTGTTGGATTTCCCTGGAAAATTTATCAGGGGTTTTCCTCCCACCTCTACACTGAACATTTCTTCATTGTCGTCTTAATTGTCAGTTCATGCTGTACTTGGTAGTAAATGAGCTGTTGGATGAACAGATGTGAATCGGTAATGAATAAATAAACTAACGGCACAAAAAATGTCATGCAACAAGACTTCTACAACACAAACAGTAAGAGCCATGGCCCAGTTCTCATTAGAGTTAGCTTGAACAAAGACTACTCTGACCTTTGAACTAGGTTTGAACTTGCTGAGAGCAAACAGAGGAGTGACCAACAGGCAGAGAAGCCCAGTGTCAAGAAACTTGACATGTCCGATGGGGACGCTGCTGCCTGGGTCAAAGATATCAAGGCCATACAAGACAGGTAAGGAAGGATTAAATTGACTATGCTACAGGTGGATCACTTGGAACCAAAATGTTTGCTTATCTTTGTAGGATTTTAGCCTGATTTGTTAGGAAGTCTTAACCGCATACAACCTGATTCCTTCACTTTCAACTGCGTGTATAATTACAGTGGCTGCACTTTACGTTCATTTAGCCTTAAAGGTTTTCCAAAATGAGAAGGAGTTTGGAATTTTTAGCTTTTGAACCCTAAATCCACTGAAAGATTACATGGAATTCTTGTCTTGAGAATTGGAGATTCTGCAAACTGTGCCTCTATCCAGTTAGCAAGAGGATAAAGTGCTGTAAGTTCATTACTTAACAATAGATCTTATTCACAAGGGAGCCATTCTTGATCACATTCCCTGAATTTATCTTATTCAGTTTAATCTGTAAAATGAGGTGGTGCCAGACTATTTTGGGTTCAGTGCCTCACTTTCTTTGTAAATGTTGCATAAACCATTTATAAATCACACATTCAAAATGATCCATCATTGCACATGAAATTAATCTGTAATGAACATTATTTCATTGGTTTCATTTGCAGTCTTACGTTCGCAAAATACAAGTTAACCTCGCTTTTGATTCAATATGGCCGACTTGTGAATACGGTCAGATGCATTTTGGGTAGGTTTTCCAGATGTTCTTTGATATAGATTTATGGGAATTCTTTTTCTAATCAATGCTATGTGAAGATATCACAAGAGGAAAGGAGTGAAGATCGGTCCGTCATACGTCTTGGTCTACGCCTGCCCTTTAATGGGAAGACGGTAAGACTTACAACACCCAACATACCATTCAGCTGCATAACATTTTGAATTTCCTCCTTTCAGTTGTCACTGCAACTTCCTAATCAGCCTACTTATTACTTTGCGTTGTTGGCCTCTTGCCAGGTATGTGAGTGGACACAGTGGAGTGGTCACTCTGGAGAAGCAGTGGTCAGATACTCCGGTAGCCTACGCATATCAGATGATGGTCAAGGTAAGAGTACTCTCCCACTCCAGCCACCACACACAACACTCGTTCTCCCTTAGGCTTTCCTGGGTGTAATTACTGGATACGGTGCAATGCATGTGCCGTTATAGGCAGACCCTGTTTATGTTTAACCTTCTTGTTGAAGGTGTGGCTAAATGGCATAGACATTGCACTACTGAACGCTTCCTTATAATCTGTAAATTTCCTTTTTTTAAAGTGTAACCTGTAACCCTCCATTGTAAGTTCTTGACTGTTGAGATCTGGCTGCTGCATTCTTATCAAATGATATCAAGGCGGTAAATGTGTAACTTGGATGCTTATCACATCAATATTACATCAGATTGGCAAATGAAATTCAAGAAATGATATTAGTTTAGGGTTCACAATGCACACCATGGCTATGACTGTTCTTAATAGGGTGTAAACATGGCAGCAACTGAAGTTATTGCCTGAGTGTCGCTCAAGTTGGGTGTCACTGCACAAAAATGCACATCTTGCAATCTCCTGAGCGGCCTACATCACAAATCTTCCAGTTGTCATGGTGTTTTTTGGTCATCTCACCAATCTTTCACAGGACATAGCCGTGCATGACTCAACTTTCCAGCAGTTCAAGACCCTGGAAGAGGTCTTCCCCAAGCAGTCTAACTGCTTCATGCTGGGAGCGCCCAACTACGGCTGCCAGGGAAGTGTGGTGGATGTGGAGGATGGACGAGTCCGTGTTACGCTCTCCTGTCCTGTAGAGCCAGATTTGAATCACCTCAGGAACTCACAGAGCGTAAGGAGTTAATAACCTATTGTAGATAAGTAGTTTTCTTTTTACTTTATGCGTGATTGCATCACAGTAGGGGACATTTCACGTGGTCATACAACTGAGATGGAAGTTGAGTTGAGGCTGTCGGCCCAAGCACTGTTTTGCACCAACTGTAGCACACTATGATTGACTCGTCTAGGAGCTTAAACAAATAAATAGTGCAAAGGAGGCACTTTTGTTTAAATATACTTTTAGAAATGGCCACGTTGTTAGTTGACCAGGTTAATATGAACTTGCCGTGATGGGTAACTTTAGAAGTTAATAATCTCTGTTTGGCATTCTGCCTGAGTGGGTAACATGCCCATTTTAGGAAGCTTGCATGGGTATGCTTGTGTAATTAGCTTAGTTGTGTTATTTACCCCAAGCAGGTAATTTACCCATGTGGGTTTATCCACCCAAGGTCTGGAGGGATTTGTCCAAATCAGAGATATGATTGTAAGTGGAGTTAAACTCAGTTTCTGTCTGTTTTTTCCCAGCATTACGAGATTCAGTACCTCCCTGCTCACATCTTAGCCCAGCGTCTTGGCTTGACATCTCTCATCATCTCCCGTTTATCTGGCAGCATCTTTGTTGGCAGAGGATCCAAGCACAGGTGAGATTGGACATTGGATTGCAGGGACCCCCCCCCAGGTCTTGGTCTCGATCTCAATCTCCAGTATTCAGCCTGGATTTTAGTAGGACTACCTTCAGGTCTTGATCTAGGTCAAAGAGTTCCCATGTCTCTGTCGTTCCTTTTATTAGCTTCAAGTCTAGAGCATGGCTTCCAGTCCACTAGGTGTCGATGTCAGCTTCTTGTTAGGACCTTCATGTTTTGTTAACTTGGCCTGAGGTTTTTGTCTTGAGACCTCTTTTTCTTGGTCTGAGTTTGATTTAAGTCTCCAGAAATACAGTCTTGTGTTCGACATGGGACATCTGGGTCTGAGTCAAGATCTTGGTCTCAGAACCTCTAGATCTTGACTTCGGTCGGGAAATAATTGTTTGGGCCTCCATCTTTACCTCTGGTTTTCTAGGTCTTAATCAGGACCTTTAGGTTTCATTGTCTTAGAACCTTTAGGTCTTGGTTTTGGGACCTTCCAGTCTTGGTCTTGCCTTGGTGTCCATACTTCCATGCCTGAGCCTGAGAATCTCCTGGTCTTGATACTAAACCTTCAGGTCCTCAGACCTGTAAGTCTTAGGACCTGAAAGTGTCTTGATATTAGGAATTTCAGGGCTCTTTCTTCTTTGTCATGCTCTTGGATGCGGTAGTCTTGACTACACTCCACGTGTCACTCTTGTTTTCTTCAGCTCCTCTGTGGGTGCCTCAAATAACTTCAATATCGGCCTCAATCTGAAATTCAATAAGACCAACCAGGAGATCCAGGGTTACTCTAAGAAAGACGAGTCGGGAACATGGTTGTACTCAACCAAGGTCATAGACATCATCAGAGACTACATGGCAAAGTAAGTCAGGAACTTCAAATCTTGCCTAACTTTCGAAAATTTGTTTTAAAAGAGCACAGGTAGCCCACGGTAGAGTTCTTTTGCAACTAGTTGAAGCATTTTTTGGTGGGGTTAGCCTCAAGTTAAATGGTCTACTGTAGATGCACACAGTTTTTTTTTCAAGCTCTTTAAATATAATTAAATTTTCATAATTTTTATCAACTGTTTGTTTGACATTGCAACATTTTTTTCTGTCTTGCTGCAAGGTTTCCAGAAGTGTTCTTGCGCATTAGTAAGAATCCAAGAGCAGAGGCGTTCTTTGAAGATGACCTGTTTGATGGGCAGCCTGGTCGAATGAAAGAGCTACAGGACTTCATCAAGGCCCTGCCGTGTGCCAAGGTCTCCAAGGTAGATGTGGGCCTGAAGAACCTGGATGAGCCCATCATCAAGCTGATTGAGGCCGAGGTGAAGAAGGTAGGGAGAGGGGTTTTCTCTTCTTGTTCAGTCCCTCATGGGTCTCTTCAAAACAGGTCCATCACGGGTCCTCCAGGCTTAAACCATGTCTCAAGCTTTTCAAATGAACTATAACCAAACCGTTGTCTTGTCATTGCTCACCCTGACACCTGCGTGTACAAGGGGTCGTTTGAAAGTGCTTGGGACTGGTCTCGTGAGAGGACTTGTCATGCACTTGACTACAGCAATGAACAATAGTGGAGAGATGAAGACAGTATTTACAGGAATGGTCGATGAAAATTACGGGGGAAAATGGGTCTGAATGGATGAATTCAAAGAAACTGTTTAAACAGCCATACTGTTAGTTTGAAGAATTCAGAAGAGTTGTCATCATTCTCATGAAAAGTGAGGTTAAAATGTGAGGAAGCTAGATGCGGAGATGGCAGGACTTTGCTGGGAAAGGGTTAAAGCTAGAGGTATGGACTTTGGAGATGGGGTGCTTGGATTACTGTCTGGTTGGAGCAATTGGGCAAGTTGTTAATAACCTAATGAAAGCCCAGTTACAGTAAGCATACTGGGAGTGAAAAGGAATGGGTTGGATTGAGGCTGATACGGAGGGAGTTGCCATGGTTACTTTTATTCTGAGGAACATGGAAGAATTCAACCAGCCAATTGAAATGAAGGTTATGGAGGTGGAAATGCTGGATGAAAGATGATGACCGTGTCTGATGGGTCAAATCCAACCATCTGTGGTTACCAACTCTATCCTGGAACTCTGTTCTGCACCACTTTACTCATCAACACAAGTCATTTGTTTTTTGATTGAAGTGGTTTTTCCTTAACTCTTTTCTTTTGTCTGTCAGGTTGCTGGATTGAAAGTCAGAAAGCAAAAATTGTGTGTCCGACCACACCTTCTCTACAAGGTAAGCTGCTTTCATTTTATTTTTTTTGCTGGAAAAATCTGAGCAAGGAAATGTGTACCAGTGTCTCTGTGTTTGTTTCTCTTGAACTGTCAGCCTCTTCATTACATGGGCAACTTAATCCCAGACCTGCAAGTGGAGCACGAACTGTTTGATCGCGTCATCAACGTCAAGGAGGGCCACACTGTGCCTCTAGGCGTACGAGGAGTCATCATTGGAATACAGCCGGGTGAGTTCGTTGAGCATAGTTCACAGATGCCCTGGGGAATTTCACATTAAGTTTTAGACAGAGTTTCAAGTTTCTTCCAAGTTTTTACTGCTGTTGAATGTGTTTAGTCACTTACGCAACCAGGAGAGGAAGTTTTCAAAGCAGATTATCAAATAATTTGTCATTGTATCTTAGAATTCTGTTACTTATGGCTATGATAATGACATGTTTTTTCCATTTGGAAAGTTAACAAATTGTTAACCCCTTCGTGCCGGGAAGTGGTAAGAGCCGCCGTGAAAATTGAGATCCCTCAGTCCACCTTTCAGCTATTATTCTCGACCCACGCTCGAGCGAACACGGTGAAAGAAGGCAGACCCTGGCTCTTGTATATATGGTGATTGGCCTTTGTGTGTTGCTAAGAAATGAAAAGGCTGAATTTACATCATAATCACCAGCTTCACAATAGTCCCCACTTTGAAAAGAGGCAATGGGAATGTGGAAGCGTGAGTAGAGCCGCATGCCACCGAACAATCAGCCTTTTCACCGTGTAAATCAAAGCGTGCAGAGTCTGCAGGGCCACAAACCGAGAATTTGCGGTTTGGCAGGTGGCCTTTGTGGTCAAGCGAGGCTGGAATTCTTGGAGTCGGCTTTCGAAAAAAATTCCTGTCGTCAAGTGGTTAATTACATACACTTGTATGTTTACATTTACATTGATAGATTTTTTTCAGTGCTGCTGTAAGTTAACAAGAATGATACATGATGATATAATAAAATTGACAAAACACGTAGATAGATATAGCTAACAATTGATATCATGTTGGACATTGAATAAAAGGCAACATCTAGGTCTGGAATGAAACCATGGCATTTGTTCCACCAGCCTAGGGACGGACAATTGATAATGTAGTCAGCAAGGGAGATTGTTAGCTGATAGACACGTGCCCCTCGTTAAAATTGGAATTGTGTTTCAAGAGTGAAAACACCAATTTTGTATTGAATGAAGTTACTTCAGTGCCAGAGAGTTCCTGGATACAGTGACCTTACTTTGGGTAGGGTGGTGGGTTGGACCAGGTGCATGGCGGCCTTGTTCAACCCCTCAACAGTCGGGGGGGGAGGGTGGTGGGTTGGACCAGGTGCATGGTGGCCTTGTTCAACCCCTCAACAGTCTGTGGGGAAAAAGGGTGGTGGGTTGGACCAGGTGCATGGCGGCCTTGTTCAACCCCTCAACAGTCTGTGGGGAAAAGGAGGAGGGGCTGTGTGGGTCTACAGAGCCATGACTAAGCTTTGATCAAAGAAACTGTCCCCTCAAAGAAATTAAATGAGGCACCCTACCCCTTCCGCCCACTGACTGAACTTTACCGCTCCTGTTTAGATGACACTTCTTGTCTGTTCACTCGCAAGGAAGAGTTTGATTAACAGTCGGTCCAAGGTGATTGGATTTGTTTCAAAAGCATAGTTGTATCCGACCTCTGCCAATGTAGCCTCCATTTCCCAGCACCTTCTGCCGGGTTTTGTGTTTATAGGATCTATAATGAACTTATTATCTAACGTTCATTTGGTTCCAGGGCCAGGTTCAACTAGGTAGTTGACTAGATGGTTCAAACTGTCTATCCTGCAGGCAGTATACATGTAGGTCAAACTACAGGCTAATAATGACAGTCGTTGTTCAAACATGCCCTTGCATGTGAGTGTACCAGGTTGCGCCCTCTACTGTTCATGCACGGAGGGGATGTAGCACTGACAGATCTTTCTGCATGAGTGTCCCCTTGGTGCATGAACACTAGAGGTTGCCTTGTGGACAGTAAGCTTAATGGCTAATCCTTGTGTAGGTGACACTGTGCTTGACTGTATCTACGAGATTGTGTTTGATGAGGAGTTTCCTGGTGGTCTGGTGATCCGTTGCACCGGTAACCGTGGTTACAGGCTCCCGACCACAGCCATCATAAACATATCGTACGGGATGCGCAAGGAACAGGGCCAACAGCAGAGCAACAAGCCAACAGCCGTCGTCAAACCACAGGTGAGATGCTGCATTTTAGGATAGGCTGTAAAATGTGGTCATGTCGTAAAAAGCTAGCGAATAGATACCGAGTTCATATCAGTTTCTACAACTCCTGAATTAATCCCTGTCATCTAATTGGTAGATTGTTGATCACGTACCTTTCATTATTCGTCATAACACTTGACACACCTGCACCCAATTAATAGCATGTAACAGTTATACATAAGCACAAAACATTTCTGAACTTGTGTGTCGTACAAAGATTCACAGCATTTTTTCAGGATTTGTTTGGGCATCGAGCACAACAAACAATGAATGTTTCACATTCGTGCATTGAATGGAATGATTTCATTTGATGACGGATGGAATGATCCATTCCACTCAGCCTGCCTTGAGTGTAATGGAACGTTCCGTCTCTTACTGCATGAAATAGGAGAAATTCACAATACAGTGTTCTGCCAAGAGATGCCAAAAATAGGCCATTTTCCAAGTTTGCGGTTTAAAAAAAACATGGCATTATCAGTGGATACATGTACATATGAGTATTTTCTTTTTGGAGTTTTGAAGTCACGAGACCGGCAGTCTGCCACCTTACAAGATGCCACCATCTTACCACTACAGGCACAAGTAATACACATATGAATTTTCTACCAAGCAAACAATGGGAACAATTAAAGGGCCCCAGAAAGCATCATCGTCGGTTTCCCACAATGCACTGTGAAAGGTGGCCTCGCCTTGTCCACTTCTTGGTGGCATACCGTGTTTTGATTCATCCTTGTTACTTACACCTCCTCATGAGTATTCCCTGCACTCATACTGTGTTTAAGTCAAATGGTATACACGTATTTGGCAACTGGTACCTGACCATTCCTGACTGTGTGGTGTTTTTTGGTTTTACACTCAGGTATTCCCGCAACCCAATGCCCGAACGCAGAGTCGCGGCTGGTACTCGGACATAATCGGTAGGCTGGGTGCTTCACTTGAGCAGTCTTGCCAGAGCCAGCGACAAAAACAGCAGCAGCGCCAGTCACACACACAGGTTCAGTCCAAGCCAACCGCAGCAATCAATTACAAGTAAGGACACTCACATACAGTGTGACTGTAATTCGATGCCACTCGTCGAAACGGAATGAGCTAAGAGTGAGAATTGTTAGGGATTAGGACATATTTGCATCCTGGAGTATATAGAGGAGGAACATTCCTGTGGAATGTGATAGGTAAGGGGACTGAATTTGGTTTCAGGGAAATATTAATCCTTAAAGTTGAAATATTTTTTGTTTAAGAAAATGCACTTCCAACCACTGTTGCATTCATAACAGTCAGCTTATAAAGGTTGGTTCAAACTTAGTGAAAAGCAAACCCGAATGCAATTTCAGATAAAAAAATCACATAGCAAATTCACAATCAGTTAAGCACGTTTCAGTGCAAACAAATTTCACTGTAAATGTTTCGCGATGTCAAATTTGCTTCACTTTTGGCGCGAAGTATGAACCGGCCTTGAAACTGAAAGAAAAACTGATTTTGTGGATGTTTTATTGAGCTAAGGCAGTTTGTATAATCAGATGGTAAAAAAAATCAGAACAGAATCTACAGATTGAGGTTCATCTGATTAGAAAAAAATTAACCACCTTTTCATGATTTGGCTTGGCAACATTTTGAAGCTGTTTCTTAAGCCTGTAATGTCGAGAGAGAAACTCAAATAGAGGAAGTTTGGAAGACTGAGTGGTTTTTGGCCTTGCAGCTTTGGCATTTCTGTGATAATCAGTGCCATCTTGGAATGGTTAGAGAATCGGTGGCCAAAAATCACTCCAGTGAATGAATTCTACTGGCTTTGGGTTTTGATTTTTAGTACAGTGATTTTAAGACATTTCTCTTTGTTTCTTATAAATTTGATTGTTAGGGAGGCGTTATCACAGAAAGGTAGTGTTAAACAAGAGACGGAACAGAGTTCTAATTCACAGGCATCACTGCCCATGAAGATCCTGACACGGTCAGGACCCAAGGTGACTGCGCGTTCCCCCTCTAAGGAACCTCTCCCGGGGAAGAGCTCACAGTCTCAAAGAATCCCTCCGAGCTTCCAGAAGCAGGAGGGGACAGACAGCAGGAAAAATACAGCAAAGACAGAAAAGGTCGGACAGGGGCAGAGGAAAGATGCGGTCTCCAAATCAGAGGTGTCAACAACGAGAATCCGTGATAAGGCTCTCAGCGAGGAGATTCGCAAGATTCGAAGTCGGGAAGACAAGAAAGCTGCTGAGCCAGAGCAGTCCCCGGCCAACGAGGTGGACGAGTTTGCCATCATGTGGCAGAACCTGCAGAAAGGGTCTAACAACAGCGGCACCTCCTCCCCCATGACTGAGGACTCCGCCCCTGACAAGGAGAGCAGCCCGAGTGATGAGCTGACCTCCCCCTTGGCCTCGGGAGGCCAGACACCTCTGTCAGAGGAGGACATGACGGGGCCCTCCGTCCAAATGCAGCTGGCCCTGTCTGCACTGCCCAAGATGGAGGCTCCTGGGCCAAAGGTCACAGGGGGTGAGACCATTGTTGAGGAAGGGGATGAGGAATTCGAGGGTGAAGAGTTTGAAGTAGATGAAGAAGCACGGATGACTCCAAGAACATATGCAAAGGTATGTGACATTGATGAAGTGTATACCTGCTAACTGTTATGGTTTGAAGAGCGCCTCTAAGGAAAACAATTTTTTTTAGAAAAGAAAGAAAGCGAGGGGAACCCTCGCCCTGTGTTTTGTAAAGGATTAACCCTTGTGCATGCCAAACAATGGCTGCATGCATAGTCCTTTCTCCAAATGACGCAATCTACACTCAGAATTCGCATCTTGGCATGAACATAAAAAATGCCCTTTTCAGCTTGTTATAGTTGAGCTCTGGAGACAAATGACACTGCATTCGATTTGGATGCTTCCATATTTATTTGAACAAATAAAATCAGAGCAAACGTGTTTTACGTAGAGGTGCTCTGTAAATGGGAAGTGTTCTGATTTTTGTGTTTCCATAAAAAGCAAAAAATAGATAAATTTAAAAGTTGGGCACAAGAGGGCGCTCTTTGCTAAACAAAGGCACTGTTCACTATGTCAAAATGGCAGTTGTTGCACATACATAGGTAGATGTGTGTTTATGCACATTACAGCATCTCTCGTTAGGCTGCTTGTTCTGCTGTTGGCTCATAAAATGGGTGTTCCGATTTCTGACTTTTTAATGTTGGCAGGTACATGTAGGGACAGTACCAAGTATTGGTGTCGGGTCACTGTTCTTATAAGAAAAAAGCAGACTAAATTTATACAACTATCAGTTTTTTCTAAGGTTGTAAAAGAAAGTATTTGTTGTTTTGAATAACTGTTTTATTGTCCAATTTTGCTGAATCTTTTTTTCCCATGTGGCATCAGTCTGGAACAGAGGAGCTGTGTCGAATGCTGAACATTTCCTCGGTGTCCGATGGCGACGGTACAACCAAGGATATTGCTTTGCCTCACTCTGTCGTCATAGAAGCGTCAACAGGCAAGAAGCAGTATGGCATACCACTCACCCTTGATCAGCTCTTTGCAGGTAGAGTCAGAGCTGGGTTCCTTTGGACGATCTCCCAGCCAGCGGGGAGGCTGAGGGGAATTCTGCCTCCCCAAAAGAAATTGCCTGTCCAATGCCCAATTTTTTTAAAACCTGGTTTGCTTGTAGAGATACTCACTCAGTACAAGTGTCAAGTTTCATCTAATAATCTGAAACACGGTTTTGTCGTTATGGTCAATTGAAGTTCGAGGTGATATGCATGCATTGAGCATAGCAGTGGAAAAGACACATTTTTGGCTGACCTGTCTCAGAAAAATAGGCATTGCACCATAACAAGTGTTCAAATTTTTGTCCCCGTTATGAATTTGCCCCTCAAATAACCATTGTTCAACACATGTATTTTCCCCAAAGCTACAGTGGGTGACTATAATAAAACCCTCACCCAA